GTTAACTTGCCATACTGGTGGCACCTGTTAACTTGCCACACTGATGGTACCCGTTAATTTGCTTTTCTGATGGTACCCGTTAATTTACTTTTCTGATGGTACCCGTTAATTTGCTTTTCTGATGGTACCCGTTAACTTGCTTTTCTGATGGTACGCGTTAACTTGCTTTTCTGATAGTACCCGTTAACTTGCTTCTCTGATGGTACCCGTTAACTTGCTTTTCTGATGGTACCCGTTAACTTGCTTTTTCTGATGGTTGCCGTTAACTTGCTTTTCTGATGGTACCCGTTAACTTGCTTTTCTGATGGTTCCCGTTAACTTGCTTTTCTGATGGTACCCGTTAACTTGCTTTTCTGATGGTACCCGTTAACTTGCTTTTCTGATGGTACCCGTTAGCTTGCATTTCTGATGATTTCCGTTAACTTGCTTTTCTGATGGTACCCGTTAACTTGCTTTTCTGATGGTACCCGTTAACTTGCCTTTCTGATGGTACCCGTTAACTTGCTATATCGATGGTACCCGTTAACTTGCTTTTCTGATAGTACCCGTTAACTTGCTTTTCTGATGGTACCCGTTAACTTGCTTTTTTGATGGTACCCGTTACTTTGCTATACAGATGGTACCCGTTAACTTGCTTTACTGATGGTACCCGTTAACTTGCTTCTTCTGATGGTACCCGTTACCTTGCTTTTCTGATGGTACCCGTTAACTTGCTTTTCTGATGGTACCCGTTAACTTGCTTTTCTGATGGTACCCGTTTACCTGTTTTTCTGATGGTACCCGTTAACTTGTTTTTCTGATGGTACCCGTTAACTTGCCTTTCTGATGGTACCCGTTAACTTGCTATATCGATGGTACCCGTTAACTTGCTTTTCTGATAGTACCCGTTAACTTGCTTTTCTGATGGTACCCGTTAACTTGCTTTTCTGATGGTACCCGTTACTTTGCTATACAGATGGTACCCGTTAACTTGCTTTACTGATGGTACCCGTTAACTTGCTTCTTCTGATGGTACCCGTTACCTTGCTTTTCTGATGGTACCCGTTAACTTGCTTTTCTGATGGTACCCGTTAACTTGCCTTTCTGATGGTACCCGTTAACTTGCTTTTCTGATGGTACCCGTTAACCTGTTTTTCTGATGGTACCCGTTAACTTGCTTTTCTGATGGTACCCGTTAACTCGCTTTTCTGATGGTACCCGTTAACTTGCTTTACTGATGGTACCCGTTAACTTGCTTTTCTGATGGTACCCGTTAACCTGCTTTTCTGATGGTACCCGTTACCTTGCTATACTGATGGTACCCGTTAACTTGCTTTACTGATGGTACCCGTTAACTTGCTGTACTTATGGTACCCGTTAACTTGCTATACATTAGATATGCAATAAAACTTGTTCAATTAAAAAAAAAATGACGATTAAGGGCGAACAACTATGAAATACACTGTACGCATAATCCCCCCCCCCTAACTCCCCCCTCCAGCGGCATTTGAACATCAACACTAAGAGAACCAATCAGTAGAGCCAGTACTACAAATCTCAGTAATAAAGGTACTTTACAAACTCAGCTAAGTTGTAATAATCCAGGTTAGACCGACGTGTGATCACCAAAACAAGATTTCACCGCTTAAAAAAAAAATGAAGTATGTACCAAGTCAGCTTGAACGGTTACAGTAAACTTTAGTAGATATAACAGTAACTTTCACAATCTCAACAAACTTAAGTAGATACCACAGTAATCTTCACATTCACCACAGACAAATTTAGTAGATACCACAGCAACTTCCACAGTCCGAACAGACACAACTTTAGTAGATATCACAGAATCTTTACAGTCCCAACAGACAAACTTTAGTAGATACCACAGAATCATTTATAATCCCAACAGAATCAAACTTTGGTAGAAACAACAGTAACTATTACAATCCCAACAGACCACCTTTAGTAGATACAACCTTAACTGTCGCAATCCCAACAAATAAACTCTAATAGATACAATAGTAACCTTCATAACCCCAGCAGATAAACTTTAATAGATACAATAGAAACCTTTATAATCCCAACAGATAAACTTTTATAGATACCACAATAACCTTCATAATCCCAACAGATAAACTTTTATAGATACCACAATAACCTTCATAATCCCAACAGATAAACTTTAATAGATACCACAATAACCTTCATAATCCCAACAGATAAACTTTTATAGATACCACAATAACCTTCATAATCCCAACAGATAAACTTTAATAGATACCACAATAACCTTCATAATCCCAACAGATAAACTTTTATAGATACCACAATAACCTTCATAATCCCAACAGATAAACTTTAGTAGATACCACAATAACCTTCATAATCCCAACAGATAAACTTTAATAGATACCACAATAACCTTCATAATCCCAACAGATAAACTTTAATAGATACCACAATAACCTTCATAATCCCAACAGATAAACTTTAATAGATACCACAATAACCTTCATAATCCCAACAGATAAACTTTAATAGACACCACAATAACCTTCATAATCCCAACAGATAAACTTTAATAGACACCACAATAACCTTCATAATCCCAAGAGATAAACTTTAGTAGGTACCACAATAACCTTCATAATCCCAACAGATAAACTTTTATAGATACCACAGTAATATTCCCGGCGTAATGCTGACCACATTCACCCACCTAGTGCCGATTAGTCTGTAAAAATATGGGACGCTCTTCCCATTTGCCCTATGCGCCTAAGGCGTGAAAAGGGATCTTTTCTTTTTACTTTACTTTTTACAGTAATATTCACAAACCCAATAGACAAACTTGAGTAAATACCACATGAACTTTCTGAGACACAACAGATAAACTTTAATAGATACCATAGTAACATTCACAGTCCCAACAAGCAAACTTTAGTAGATACCACAGTAACTTTCACAGTCCCAACAAGCAAACTTTAGTAGATACCACAGTAACTTTCACAGTCCCAACAGACAAACAATAAGAGATATCATGTAGCCTCCACAATCCCAGGAGATAAACTTCAATAAACAGAAAATGAGTTTTTATTATCGCAACAAATACATTTTATCTTTTGTTTTGTCTATGAAAGTACCCCGACAGTTATTTTTTTAGATTCCAACGATAAAGTGTTAAGATCCTAGATGTGTGTGTGCGTAGGCGCGCTGTCGCAAAAAAAATGTCCGGGGAGAGAGGGGGTGCTCAGCACCACCTACCCCTATTTTCCAGGTGAGGAGGAAGGGGGAATCAAGCCTTGCCTAATTCCGCAGCAACATTAGGAATTATTATCATTAATGCGAAATTTAAGAAGGTTTGATACCCCCCCCCCCCCCTTTTTTTTCCCTCCGAAAATTACCAGGGAATACAGGAACTTAAGTACTGTTTTACTGCGCAATAATAATTACTATTAAATACAAATTAGCAAATAAAAAAAAAAATAAAAAAACATAAAATCTGAAAAAATTAAAATGTTAAAAACAAATGCTCCCCCCCCAAAAAAAAAAAATCTCCATACATGACTGGGTGGGTGAGCTCTGCTCATTATGGGGGGAGGGCTGGGGTAAGGTGTTCAATGTGCATCCGCTAAAAATGGGGAGGAAAGAGAAAAGGGCAGGGGGGGGGGGGGTGGGTGTTCAATGTGCAGGTTTCTGCGCCTGTGTGTGAAAGATGATGTGTGTGTGTGTTTGCTAGTGAGTTGTTGAAAACAGACAAACAGTGTCGGTGTCAAACACTGTGTGTAGCCACGTTGTCTTTCTGCTACATCACACACAGCCGTCATCTACACGAGTTTCAGGATTACAAAGAACACCTCAGATACTGCACCGTTTACATACATCTGGTCTCTAGGGTCAGTTTAGCAGTAATTATTGTCTACTTAGAAGTTAAACTATTCGATTTCCTCCAATAATTCTAGAAAGGTTTATTTAACCGCGTGATTTCTTTCTAGGAATAGTATGTTCTTTGCAGTGCAATTACATGCGGTTGTGTAGGAATGAACAGTCATCAAGTGTAAAGAGCTAGCTGTACAGGCTGGGTTTCTAGATGGTGTGCATGCTTTCTTTAGCTGAACTACCACATCTTGTGTTTCAAAAAAGACCACGTGGCTCTGACAGAAACACAGATTTTATTACTAGAAAGCGTGAGGTTTTTCGGAAACCTCATCGCCTTAAATTTAGCAAATAAAACTAATAAGTAATGTACGGAGAAAACAGAAGACAAAGTTTTAATGCACCGTACGATCGTTTTTTGTTGTGCAAAGATTTCTATAGGAGATTTACAGCAGTAGCAGAAAGAGATGGTTTTTCTCAGATGCTGATCATTGCGCAAGTAGTAACATAGTCTCTACAAGCGTTAATTGTCACATTCTATACAGTAGGTAATAGTACACGTGTCAATTCACACCAACCTCTATTCTCTAAAGTTATTATGTTAAAAAAAAAAAAAACCCACTGTATTCTAACTGTAAAAAAAAAAAAAAACGTATAGAAAATAACAATTATTTGCAAACTGTTGTAACAAAAAAGTTTGAAGAGTTTATAAATGAAATTAAAAATGGTATTTTTATGATGAATACATTATACCCCAGAATCTGAAATATTTCAAGGATAATTAATCATATTAAAAATTTTACGCGCTCACAAAATTAGTTACAGGTGAGAATCAAAATATTTCTTTTCCTTTTTAGAGGATGTTATGTTTAACTGAACAAAGTGACCTCGACGTGTTTTAAATGTAAAGCAATTCCTATGTGAATGAGTTAATGAATTGAAGAAAATGCTATCTTAAATAAAACACACCAAAGCACGGAGATAGAAAAAACAGACTAGGATTAGAAAAAACAGACTAGGATTAAATCCTGGTGTGCAATAACACATGAAGAAGATGAGAAACGCAAGTACCACTTTTGTTGTTGTTTTACAAACAACCAATAATGGATTCCGGTCGTAGACTAAACCTCTGTTGAGAGCGCGTACTGAAGATGTCTGGTCAGTGGTTATTGTGGATATATTGTGTTATCTACGTGAGCACACACCGATGTTTGCTGGCGGCCTCCATCAATGTACAGTCCATCGAGGACAACTGTGTGCTCAGTTTCATCATTCCCAGGGATAAGATCAAATCTTCCTGTGACCACAATGACCAGGTTGGATTCTTGTGTGTTTTGTCCCTCGTGTTGTCCAGTTTGTGTTTTGTACTTCGTTCTGTCCTTTTTGACAGCTGACTGTTGAGAACATGTCGGATAAGAACAGTTGGACTGTCATAATATCATAAGTAGTGTATGATGTGATGGACAGGTCGCAAGTCCATGAAGAAACAAGAAGAAGAGGGGGAGAATAATAATAGTAGTAATAATAATAAGAGGAAGACGAAGAGTATATTTCCTGAGATTCAATTCTATTTTCTAGTTGTTTGTTCATTAGCAAGGTTTCTGTACTTTTAATTATAAATTCATCTTTAACAGTAGGGCTGTGTGTGTGTGTGTGTGTGTGTGTGTGTGTGCGTGTGTGTGTGTATTGAAAATTAAATTGTCGAATGTTTTACACACATACAGATATATATATATATATATATATATATATATATATAAAACATTTTACAATTTAATTTTTTTAATACGTTGCTATAGATATCAATGCTGTTTGCATATTGTTGAAGATTACTTTTAGCAGCTTCTTTCCTTTTTCGGACTTGATGTGGAGATCTTCAGAGCAGAGCAGCAAGCAGTTACTGATGCAACCAAAGCGCATTAGGAAAGAAAACTTAAAAAGCAGCATAACTGTTTTCCTGTGTGACTGCATGTCAGTCCCCTAGGCGACTCAAAGGGATTCAGGAGACAACATGGAGAGAGAACTGACCCGCCAGCTTAACAGACTCTCAGAAAACAATCAATTCCTTCTTCAGAGTATACCGGCTCACTGCGGCATGCCGGGAAATGAGTTAGCGGACAGACTTGTAAAAAATGGAACAAAGGATGAACAACACACCCATTCATTAGTCATTACCAGAAATCAAAGCACTTAAGGGAAAATACAAGCAATTGTGGAGAGAACTAACCAACGAGTGAACATCCACAAGACCCCATCAGTAGACTCAACAGAAAGCAACATACAACAGTTTTCCGTCTGCACTGCAGGCTCAAACACTACATGCATAAAATAAATACTGTACAGACCCCCATGCCGGCTTCAATCCCAGCTGCCGGCCATGCGCCTTGCGTTGGTTTTGACAGTAGTATTAGGGAGCCGACCGTCCAGTGGCAATGACAAACTTCTGGACGTAAATTTGCCTAGCAAAACCACACAACAGCTAGGGGCTGTTGGGGTTGGTTCTGTAACGTCCTGTGAAGGATACGCAACTAACCTTAACAGACGCCCCAGTGTGTCTGTCAAACAGGACCACAAACACCTGAACACATTCTGCAGACCTGCCCACTCTACCTACAACTTCGAAAAGACACACCTGACCTCAACAGAAAAGCGTGCAGAACAAGCTATTTGGAACCATAAAAAATCTGCTGCTGACATGCGAGTTCATAGAGGCGACCCACCTGATAGTCTGATCTGAGCATACGAAACCGAACGCAAAGATTAAGAAGAAGAAGATGAAGAAGAAGGAATGCATTATTAGATGTCTGACAGTCTCTTCTTTTAGAGTGCAATTTCTGTGTCATCGTCACTTGCTTATGCATCTTCACTAGCTGCCGTCATACACTGTTACGCTGGTCCGTTCTTCAGTTGGTATCAGCGACATTTTCTCTAGGTCTGGTTTATTACAGGGGTCGCCTAAGACCTTCAAAAAACACACATTTAATGAAGTTATGAAGTAGCAACCAAAAATAATGTTATGTTTTAGGGGTCGCCACAACATGAGGAGCTGCATTAAAGGGTCGCGACCACTCTACCTTCAACTTCAAAAGGGAACCTGGCCTTAGGAGCAAAGTGTGCAGAGCAAGCTATGAGGCACAACAAAAGGATCTGCTGCTGACATGCGAGTTTATAGAGGCAACCCACCTGATAGTCTGATTTGAGCATACGAAACTGAACGCAAAGAAGAAGAAGAAAACAGATTTGTAGATTTTTTTTCTGCCATCTGTTTCTACATGTCAAAGATAGGATGATATTCTCCCCGTCAATTCATATCTCCATAATTCATGCAATTCGCTGTTCATGTTACAACCCGGTAAAAGCTTTCAATTTTTGAAAATAAATTTGTGTTGTCTATAAAACATACATAAATATTTTTACAGACATTTATATAATTTCCAGTCAGCATCTTTACCAAAATTGTAATGTAAATTGCAAAATAAACCAGCAACCGCCAAAAACATGTTTTTAGTGCCCTGTTACGGATATGCACTAACTTTACTAAATCCAATGCATGCAGTTCAGTCGATGCGTTACCATGTTACACTTTATGTGAAGCCGAATGCTTGCTATTGATATTCCATTTCACTTGTGCGATTTCTATCATGTGACTGAAAGAAGAGCCTATATTTGCCATATCAGCAAGCCCATGTGTTTTACCCAACAGACAGTCAGATACAACTGCCTTTATTACGACCTGATCTAGCTCAGAAAAAAAACACATCAGTGATGGCAAAAAGCAAAACACATTAAAATGTACGTTAAGCTTGAACATACCACCAGATCAGAAAATCGCCTATAGCGACCTGCAATCAAACTAACTCTGAGCGAGGATACACACTGCTACCTAGGTCTGACACATAATTAAACTGCTGCTGGAAATTTAAGTCTAGCACCTAAACTAACCATGAGAAGTACCGAAACTGTGAAGTTGCCATGCCATCACTCTCTGACTCACCAGCCTGGAAACCAACGTCGTGATAACAGTCACTAGCGACTGAACAACAACGAGATTCCCGTAGCGAGGCTGGCGAGGTCGGAGGGCGGGAGCTAAAAAGACCTTTTCAGGCTCTATCGTCTTTTATTAACATCTGATCCCTGACGTTGCCAGGTTTTTCCCGTAAGTGGAGCTAACCAATAAAATTCTAAACGGATTTTGGCGTCCTACCACATATCCCTCTATCAAATTTCTTGGCATTCCGACAACGACACAATTAATAACGATTATGTTTTTTTTTTTACCAATTCCTCTTTAACTCTTGCTCTACCCTCCATTAAGTTACTGGCCACAGCCAGTGATGTGTGTGTAACTGTGTCTAGTCAATAGTTTGGATTTTTTCGAATTTGCTGTTTATTCTTTTTCTACTTTGAATGTAGAAATCTTACTTTTGGGGAAAATACAAACAGGTAATTTAGAAGCCAGATCTGGAGAATATCGACAGTTTTCAGGTGCAAACAATCTTGTGTTGGAAGAAAACTATTGCTTTCATATTGACTCAGCATAAATGGTGCAACTTCACTGTGGATAAATTGTGTCAGGATATTTCGGAACTCTGGGTAAATGGATAAAAACAATATTTACTAACTTATCTCTCGCAGCAAGTCACTCTTTGCCTCTTTACTAATTACTAACAGTATAATTATATGTTGTAGAAGTACAATAATATCAACCCTCAACCATTTGTGCTCATTTCTGTGCACCTTCTACTTCTTCTTCTTTTTCTTCTTCTTCACTGGCTGTAAACTTTGGCAGAAAGTTCTGGTTGTTTATCTACATCTGCACATAGGTTATTCAAACCTGACATATTTGTATGCAGACCGCTGGTTCCTTGCCTCTCATGCAGATGCATTCTGGCTTAGAGGAAAGCCACAATGAGTCGACTTTTACGACATGCACTACTATTAATCCTAAACCATTTGTGTTCATTTTTGTGAATCATCTTCTGCTTTGTGATCACTGGCTGTAAACTCTGGCAGAAGCTTCTGGTTGTTTATCTCCTTCTTATGTATATTTGCAGTTGTATGGTCTGTGTTCATTTTTGTAAATCATCTTTTTGCTTCGCAATCACTGCTTTAAACTCTGGCAGAAACTTCTGGTTGTTCATCTACTTCTGGGCTTTAGTCTTGTTCCAGACACTGTTTGTTGCATGTACATATGTTATACAGATTTTACTTAATTGTAGGCAGACTGCTGTTTCTTGCCTCCCAGGCAAACACATTCCTACTTCGAAGGAAGTAACAATGAGTCGACTCTTACTAAATGCTCATTGATGAGACGGCGAGTCTCTGTCTTTTTTTTTTTTTTTTTTGAACGAGACCTGGTATCTTTACGGGGAACTTTTGTGTTTGATATGTGTATGTTGCACAGCACTTGCATTTATATGGTCTGTTTTAATGTGCTTAACGTACCTTTCAAACAATATACCATTCATATCACTTATACACGTTGTTGATTGCAGTTATCAGAAATATGTATGATGTATTTTTAAACAGGTACCAACAAAATTCACAATCATAGGGAACTAAATTCATCCAACAAGATAACTTGACAAATCTGTATGTGCTGTTTGTACCTTAAGGATAAATATTTAGTAGTGCTATAAGCATAGCAATCGACTGGGTCATGCGCAAGTGCATAAATAACGCAAATTTAGGCATTACATGGGTTGACAAAATTCTGGAAGACCTAGACTTCGCTGACGACATAGCACTCCTGAGTTCAGAACACACAGACGCCCAAGAAAAAATCAATCGACTCCAGAATTTCTCAGAACAAATCGGACTCCAAATTAACACCGCAAAAACAAAAATTCTAGACCTTACCAACAGTTCAGTTGATATCACGCTGAACAACAACAGCCCTTGAAAAAGTCAACAGTTTCACTTATCTAGGGAGCAAGATGTCATCTACAGGAGATACCGCACCAGAAATATCATTTAGAATAGCACTGGCATCTAGTGCCTTCAATAAACTGTCTAACATCTGGAAATCAAAGACACTTAGCAAACACACAAAACTCAAGATCTTCAATTCTTGTGTGATTCCAGTACTAACCTATGGATGCGAGAGTTGGAAATCAACGAAAACTCTAGACACAAAATTAGACAGTTTTGAAAATAAATGCCTTAGAAGAATACTAAATTTCAAATGGTCAGATTTCCGAACCAATACACAAATAAGGCAAGAATCCAGGCAAGAGTATGTGTCTAATTTTATACGAAAACGCCGCTGGAACTATGTCGGCCACGTCCTTAGAATGGATAAATCAAGACTTCCTTACCAAGCCCTCATTTGGACACCACAGGGGAAAAGATCTCGTGGAAGACCAAGGGAAACCCTACGTAGAACTATCATCAGGGAAGGCTCGCTCATGGGCCACTCAAACATCCAAGACCTACAACGGATTGCAACGGACCGCCGTGCATGGAGAGTCACGACCTCTGCCCTATGTGCCGCACTCGACACAAGAGGAAAGACTATATAAGCATTGTTAAGAAAACTTCTCTGGGTGAAAAATTATTGCACATATCAATTTCATATTGACTGTGCTTGTTTACTAATTATTAAATAATAGTATAATTATATGTTGTAGTAGTCTTTTAATAGTAATAATAGCCATCAATCATTTATATTTATGTTTTGTATGATATGTGTATGTTTCACAGCAGTATTTTCATGTGCTAAATTTGATAAAGTACAAATGACACCCCTCTCCCCCCCCCCCCCTCTCCCGATCCTCTAATGCAACATTCTCTCAGAATCAAAGAGTAAGCACTAATATTTCTTTACTTTTGCTGGAATAAATTCCAGTTTATTTCTACACGTTAGTGATGTAGGAAAAGCATTTTTGCATAAAGAGCCTTTATCGTTATATTTTAATAGCACGCTTATTTAACTTTAAAATGACATATAATTGGATAAAACATGTTGCAAATTAATTAAACCAGTTTAATTTGTGTATACATCTCCTTGATAAAAACTGTGAACACAGGGCGGACTCCCGACTTGCACAAGAACGGGAATCCCCGTTGAGCTGTAGAGACTAATTATAGCTCCAGAACAGTGTGGTTCTTTCCACTCTTTGTTGCCTTAGCCGCGGGGTATACAACAAACAATTTCCACTCGTCTCAGCTGTTTGGCTATCGAGAGACACATTATACCACTTCCCCAGCCGCACAGCTTCCGAGAGGCATTTTACCACTGTGTCAGCCGCGTAGCTTTCAAAGGACATTTTCCACCACTGCCACCGCCGCGTGGCTTTCGAAGGACATTTTTAACCATTGAAACCATTGCATGCTTTTTAAGAGACATTTTTCTGCCATTTCCACCACCACGTGGCTTTCAGGTGACATTTTTTACCATTACCACCACTGCGTGGCTTTCGAAAGACGTTCTCCACTATTACCCCAGCTTAGGGGAAGCTTACAATGGACATTGGACGATACCTCGGCCGGAGGCCTACAAATGGACGTACTGGTCATTACCTCAGCCGAAGACCTTCAAATGGACGTACTACCCCGGCTGAAAGCCTACACATGGGCGTATCAGTCAACCTCGGCCGAAGGTCTATAAATGAACGTATCGGTCATACTTCAACCGAAGGCCTACAAACCACTGATCAGACAATACCTCAGCTCGGGGGGATCCTATAATGAACTGATTAGTCACAGCAATGTTAAAACACTTCATTGCGTAACTGGGTCAGTCGATGAACTTCACACAAAGTTCCCTAATATAAAGAGACCTGAAGTTGAACCTGATACAGAGACAAAATTACAAATAAAATGACCCCAAGCTTAGGCTGTGATGTAAACAACTATACTCCGTGAACAACGCGCACACCACTCCGTGACCAATATGCACAAACCACTCATAGTAAACGATACCCACAAAACACCCCTAGGTGAACGATTCGGGCAAGCTACTCTGTCAACAACAGGCACTGACAACTGCTTAGTAATCAAAACTGATGCGCAACATCGAACCACACACTGTTAACTACAAAGGCCACACCTAGACAAGTTATGAACCAAACTAAAATATGATTCAATATGATAATCCGAACAGGTTAGATATGGAAAACAAAACAACTTGACAACACTACTCAGTGAATAAAATTATGAAAACATTTAAATAAACACATACACAAAGTCTGAGATAAAGAAGCTCCCCCCCCCCCCCCCTCCCCCCTACTTGGTTTCCCTTCCTAACCAAAACTAAACAATGTATGTGTATGTTTTGCGAATCCCATACTGTGATAACATGTGTGGCTAAGTCTCCGCTGTTATTTTTTAAACTGTGCGCTGGCTACTGAAGATGGGGACGAAGCGCTCATAGTGCTGTGATGTCGGTTCTTGAATCAGTTCAACTCAATTGAATTGAGTTTTTATTATCTTACACATGTTTGTTTCCTGGCATTACACTACAGGCTCCTAACGTAGTTTAACTTTGCACTACTCTGATGAGTCTTCTTACAGGCTTCCCTATGAAATTCATTTTTTATTTTAAATATGAAACCAAGGTATTCATATTTTATGATTTTTTTTATTTTCTCATTGTTAATTGTTATTTGTGGTGGACATAAATTGTGCACTTTGTGAAGATTTGCTTTGCGTGGTGATTCACGCTCACAGCAAGCAGCAAGCCGAGCCGAAAACCCGTGCAAAAGACAGACGACAACACGGAATATTCGCACCTTGAGAGATAAACGAGAACAAGCCAGAGCTTGCTTGGCTCGTGGTCAGTTGTGTACCAGAGGTTGAGGAAGACGGTTGTGATTTAGTTTAACAGCAGTGTATTAAATGTTATGCATATATATTCATTTTATCCTGTCATCCCTTTTTAGAATGCAATTTTTCGTTATTTGAAGCCCTACTCTGGCTTTTGCCAGGGGCCGCAATATAGCCCGGCCATAAATGTGGTCTAATGGCTGAACGCGGATTCTGGGACCTCTCCACGGGTGATCCTAATCCACATGGTGGCAGTTTGTGTCACCGGGTGTTTATCGCTTGCGTGATATCCTTGTGGGGTAAAAGAAGATAGAGATCAATGTTATGTGGATGACTACTGTAGGATTACTACAAGTGTACACCAGCTTTACAAGAGATGTGAACATTTGATCTATAATCTGCACTTAACTTTTAATAGTCATAATTAATTATTATAAACCCTTTGTACTGATCGGGTGGATTATATTTTCATCAGAATATCATATTTCTGACAAATCCACCAATTAAAGATGGATCAAAACATTCACAAGTCTTAAATGTATTACTTTTTTGTTTACCTCACTCTCATAGAGGAAAGTCAGTTCCTGCCCACCACCACCCCCTTCCCACCACCCTTCACACACGCACACAAATCTAGTCTTCAACTTGAATGTAATATTTTAAATTTGTATCTGAAAGCAGTATCTTTTTTCTTCTCTTTCTTTTCGGCACATTCACCGGCTGTAAACTCCGGCGCGGATGGTTCCGGTTGTTGATCTATTTATGGACCTAGTTTTGCTCCAGAACTGCCTTTCTTGTGTGCATATCTGTTTTACAAACTCCGAATTCAAATGAAACAGTCCTAATTCGTGCGGTTCTTAAGGAGTGTTTAATCAAACGGTTAGAATGTTGTACTCATTCGGGTATACAGACTGGAACCCTCGGCACGAGGGTGACATTGTTTCTGCAGGAGCAGCAATTAAAATCCTAATCTGCATAGTTCGTGGCGACTGCGCTAGCCATGCAAAGCTACACCCTCGGTTAAAAAAAAAAAAAGAGCCATCTGTGTTACACCGTCCTAAAATGTGGTATAATAAGTGGTTTACAAAAGTTAGTAGCGTATCCTTCAACAAGTCGTTATAGAACTTACCCCAGCATGTTTGTGCGTGTGTGTGTGTGTGTGTGTGTGTGTGTGTGTGTGTGTGTGGTTTTTAAGCCAAATTTTACGTTTAGTAATTTGCCACTGTACTTGAACGGTCAGCTCTCAGAACAGTCAACTGTTGAAACCAAAGCAGCACGTTCTGCTGCGAAATGGTCCGCATCTGGGATCGAGTCCGCCATCCTGGCTTTACGAAGCGCGTTCGTAACGCTTAAGCCACAGACGCCGATAATATAATAACGACAGCGTGTTTTTGAATAGTATGTTAAAAGTAAAGGTCCCTCCTCCACGCCTGTAGGCGTATAAGGCATATAGGGCTAGATCTAAATTTTTAAAGACCAATCGGCAAAAGATGGGTGATGTGGTCAGCATCAAGCCGGCTGCCTTTACTTCCTATGACTGCACCCGGTACCCACTCAAGACTGGGTCGACCAGGGAATCAAGGTCATTTAAAAAAAAAAGTCCGGCTCCGCCAGGGAGCGAACCCACGACCTTCCGATCTACACGCGAGCGTCTAGCCGTTACGCCACGTCGACTCCCGGTGTGTTAATGAAACCTCTTTAATCTAATCTTCCATCCTTTGTATCACAGGTCAGACGTCATATCAACGTCATGGAGATGAAGGTCAACCTGTACAAGCAACAGGTGACAGAGCTGCAGATCCAGTTGGACAAGATGAGACAGATCAACAATGAAAGGTACCAGCTTCTGGAGAGACAGGTGACTGCCATCAGCGCTAATATGGATATGAACTTTCTGCTAGAGCACAAGGTGAACCGCTTAGAGACGGAGGTTCAACAGTTAAATATAGATGTAACAACCGCCAAAATGAAAAAGCCTGCCATAAAACAAGCCTCACAACAGGATGACCAGACCGCGCCACCAGACTCCAATCTCCCAGATCTATCACACAGTATTCAATCTATGATTCAAAATGAAGTGAAACTTTTCGCTGACGATTTGACCAACAAGTTTCAAACGTATATCCTAGAACAAATAATGCTGTACAATAAAGTTTTCAGCAGCGATCTGAAAGAAAACGGCCTTTCCCGTGTCCATGAAAACTTCACACAGTTAGCTTCAAAGTTATCTTTAGATAAAGACGTTAGCGAACCCATGGAAGGAATTAGGAGGCTCATTCACAGAGACAGAATGTTAGGAGAAGAATTTAAAAACCTTAAGGTGACTAACGCCGGTTATCAAAATGAAAAGCACATTAGTTCTGTGAAGAGCATTGCCAACGACAAGTCCCGGAACGCTACTGGCAATGCAGGGGCAGTTCGTTCCACCATACCTAGGTACAAGCGACACCATGTAATAACCGACCCGCAGTCAGAAGACACTGATGATGCAATAGATAACAACGAATCATTTAGCGGGGAAAACCCTGACCTTAACGATACCTCGCCCAACGATCCCTTCTCACAAGCGGACCACGATACTTCCAGCAGCACCTCCTCGAGAATAAGCCAGACAACAGAGGCAGATGCTAACTCTACAGGCTCCGAATGCGGAAACAGAGACACGGGACGCGCTTCGGCAACAAACTTACATCTTGACCAATGCAACAACAGAATAAATGAGATGGAACGAAAACTGAGAAAGGAATTCTCTGACATAATATACTCACCGCTTGCAGAAGTTGTGAGACTCATAGAAAAATTGAAAGATGATTTTGAGAAGCAAATACTGAATCAAGAGAAAGTATCTCAGCAAGCCAATAAACAACTAACAGCACATATTACAGAACTTCAAAATAACGTACAAGCCACTCAGCTGGACCTGCGTGGTATGTCTCAAGATATGCAAGAGTCGAGGGCAAAATTAGACAAGGTAAAAGTACTGGAGGAACTTGTCGGCGATATAATCAGGAACATTTCAACTAATGCTCGGTCAGAGTCCGACCTGGAGAATGAAGAACAGGGTAAACGGATTAAAAAATTGGAGCGACTCATGGGCGTGTACCAGCAGTCCTTACAGCATTATCGAAACGAAACAAAATATGAGTATCGGGAAATGCGAATGTCCCTAGAGAAGGAAAGTGACACATTAAAGTTGTATACAAAAGCACTACAGGACAATCTCAACGAAACCGTCACTTACGAGATGATCATATTAAACAATTCCTACAACAAGAAACTGCAGGAGATCAACGAACAGATACGCGCGCACGAAGAAGCTCTACTACTCGTTCAAACGGATATTCAAAACGCAGAGAAACGACTAGAAAGCAAGCCAAAACGCTCCGACCGCGACTTTGATGAAATGCAAGAGACCATCAATCAACTGAATTTGAAGCAAAAGAATTTGACGAAAAGACTGGAAAACCTTGAACAGACCCAAGGTAACATGAATGAGAAAATTAGCGTGTACGCTAAAGATATTGTGTCGCTACAAACGGAATCAAAACTTAACACGGATGAATGGTTACCGCTGACATTTCATTTCGATTCGTCTAGAACCGACTGTTTTGGAGACCAGTATGTAAAACGTACCGGTTATACAAAAGCTAAGTACGTGGGCGTAGTTCTGTGCTCCGAGACTCGCTACAAGATTTTCTTGTCTTCTTCGCTGAACGGAACATTCATGAATGTGGGCGACGCTAACGGCATGGGAGAGGATCACTGCGAGTTCGTGGGAGCAAACAGGGATGCCCCCGTACAGCTGAGTGCCTTCAGGCTCACGTTTGGATCAGTGCAAGGTAAGTTCCTGGTTGTACTGAGAGCTGTTCAAGGTCGAGCCACGTGCGCGTGTACACAGGTGTACAAAATGTAAGAATTTCTGTAGTTGCACAGGAAACACAAGAGAATAAACACGTATATGAACTTTGTATGGATGGGAAACAAAGAAGGCGGGGAGAAGGTGTGCAGATAGTGGGTTGATGGAGAAGAAGAAGAAGAAGAAGAAGAAGAAGAAGAAGAAGAAGAAGAAGAAGAAGAAGAAGGAGCAAAAGGAGAAAAAGAAGAAGAAGAAAAAGAAAAAGAAAGAAGAAGAAGAATAGGAAGAGGAAGAGGAAATGGATGAGTAAAAAGAGAAAGAAAAGGAGGAGGAAGAATAAGAGGAAGAAGAGGAGAACAGAGATTTAATGACAAAAAAAAGGGGGTGTTCTGAACTGCGACTATATTGGTGCAAAATAAAAGAAAGATTCACGTTTCATTTAGAATACTTTTCCATGCCGTCATCTGTATTGGGCATATAGGGCTAGACCTATATTTTACAGACCGATCGGCACTCCGTGAGTGATGTGTTCAACTTCACTCCTGCCACCTTTCCTTCCCAGGACCTTACCTAGTACCTGTTTAAGGCTGGGTCGACATGCGACCAAGGTCATTTTGAAAAAAAAAAAAAAAAAAAAGATCCATTCGGATTTGAACCCACAATCTTAGGATCCGCGGTTCGTTACAAAAAAAAAAAAATATTTTTACTATCAGTCAAAAAAGAAATACTACTAGGTGCATAAACAGAAAAAATAAGGTAATAATGATTAAGGGCAAAATAATGCACTTACTAGTGGACTGATTAGTTAGCTCTGTGGTTAAGTCGATGCGAACGCTTTGTAATGCCGGGTTCGATCCCAGCTGCGGGCCATGCGCCTTGTATTGGTTTCGACAGTGGTATCAAGAAAGCCGACCGTCCAGGAGGCAATGGCAAGCTACTGGACGTAAATTTGCCTAGAAAAACCACACAACAGCAAGGGGCTGTCGGGGTTGGTTCTGCAACGTCATGTAAAGGATACGCAACTAACCCAGTGGACTGATTACATGGAAAAGCAGCCTAATGTTACGTTCAAATACATATTAGGTTAGTTGCAAGGCGCATGACCGCAGCTGGGATCGAACCCGGCATCCCGGCATTACGAAGCGTTCGCATCCACTTACCCACAGAGCCGACTCAAATACATATATATCGTACAAATACTGAATACAAACACCGAATACGCTGGAGAGAGGTAAAGTCTTGATTTAAAAAAAAAGTTTTAGTCTGAATAAAAATTGTAATGCCATCTGTATTATCCCATGATCCATATGCACAATTTGGCCAAAGATACCTAGTGATGTACAAAGTGAAGATCATCATCATCAAATGCCTTACAAGCTGGCGTAGGCGTTCATGCATCTCCACAGATCTTTGGTGATCTGTGTCAGTTTCACTGATGATATTCCTCCATGCCACTGTCTGAAGCCATCCACCGTAATTCTTCTTGATGAAGATAGTGGCACAAAAAAGTCTGATTTCCTAGCCAGATGCGACTATTATACCACCAGGCTCCTGCTGAAGACGCACTAAAATCGTCCATAAGTGAGTGAATGAGTGAGTGAGTGAGAAAGCGTATCTGAAACCAGTGTCCCGAACCATAAATAATCTGACATGGCTCTGTCACACACATGCAGTATGCAGCATTAGTATATGAGCAGTGATAAAGTAAATCGTTACTAGCTACCTAGCAATAAATGTTTTGTCCTTTTTAGGACGAAATTTTTCGTTATTTGAAGCCCAGCCCTGGCTTTTGCCAGGGGCCGCAATATAGGCAGTTCATAAATATGGCCAATTGTCTGAACGCGGTTTCTGGGACCTCTCCACGGCCATCCTCATCCGCATGGTGGCCCTTTGTGCCATCGGGTGTTTATCGCTTGTGTGATGTCCTGGTGGGGTAGAAAGTCTGTCTGTCTGTCCATCGTCACTAACTAGGAAGGCCATCTGGTGCATGTTTCGGATTCAGGAGATAATAGTGAAAAGCAACTGGGATCGAACCCGGCATTATGAAGCCTTAGGTCAGACGTCGACATCAAGCACAAACAGAGAAAGAGATGCCGGGTCATTGTAGAAAGAAGTAGTAGAGAGACAAGAGGACATACTATGTAACATACACATTGAAAGTATAGTTACCATGCCGCAAACAAAACCTGTCACCTCCAAGTAACTACGGCGTCTCGTTGGATAGGCAAATGTACTAATATACAGGACCACTAGATACCCTTGAAAAAGGTTTCATCCTAAGCCAAAATATACCATACAGCCTGAATTCATAACTAGGGAATACGGACAGAATTCGTGTCAAACCACTGACATAGCATCATAGGTTAAATAAATTTATATTAACCAGCACAGGTAGAATAGCAAAAACAAAACAACAAACTGTGGTGCTATATTGGAGTAATGAGGTAATGAAAAGCAACACAGCGCAAAAAAAGACAGTTGAGAAAACTGGTAGAAAAATCTCTTGGAGCTAACTTCAGGAGACTCGTGTCAACGTATAAGAAACTTGAAATACAAGACGGCCAATGCTTCAGAACTGACAGTCATGACAGATGAAAAGGAAAAGCATTTTTACCTGTGGGAAATACTATCATGCCTTTTGAAAGGAAGTTCTAAATGGACACATCAGAGACGTTGCTGCCAAAGATCAAGTTAGTTGCGCATCCTTTACCGAAAGTTGCAGAATCAACCCCTGTGTTTCTGGAATGTTTGTGATTACGCTAGGCAGTTTTACGTTCAGTAGTTTGCCACTGTACTGAATGGTCGGCTCTCGGTATCACTTTCGAAACTAACGCAAGGCGGTCTGCTGTCCAACTGCCCGCAGCTGGAATGGATCCCGCCGCCTGGAAATTACGACTAAAGATAAATGACTATCACAGTCTAGCTGCCGTGTCAGTGGTAAAATAAAAGAAAGACATTTTTCCTCAGTATATTAGGGCCCAATCAACAAACACTCGAGTCTCAATTTCTGGGCCCGCTCCAGAGATCTCTTCATGTCCTGACGCCGTCAGGTATTCCAGTAGAAAAGAACAGATGGGCCCGCTCCAAATATCTCTTCCTGTCCTGACGCCGCCATGTATTCCAGGAGTAAAGAACAGAAGGGCCCGCTCCAGAGATCTCTTCCTGTCCTGACGCCGCCATGTATTCCAGTAGTAAAGAACAGAAGGGCCCGCTCCAGAGATATCTACCTGTCCTGACGCGGCTATGTATTCCAGTAGTAAAGAACAGAAGGGCCCGCTCTAGAGATCTTTTCCTGTCCTGACGCCGCCAGGTATTCCAGTAGTAAAGAACAGAAGGGCCCGCTCTAGAGATCTCTTCCTGTCCTGACGCCGCCAGGTATTCCAGTAGTAAAGAACAGAAGGGCCCGCTCTAGAGATCTCTTCCTGTCCTGACGCGGCCATGTATTCCAGTAGTAAAGAACAGAAGGGCCCGCTCTAGAGATCTCTTCCTGTCCTGACGCCGCCATGTTCCTGTAAAGAAACAGAAGGGCCCGCTCTAGACGCCTGCGCCACCATGTATTCCAGTAGTAAAGAACAGAAGGGCCCGCTTTAGAGATCTCTTCCTGTCCTGACGAGGCCATGTATTCCAGTAATAAATAACAGAAGGGCCCGCTCTAGAGATCTCTTCCTGTCCTGACGCCGCCAGGTATTCCAGTAATAAATAACAGAAGGGCCCGCTCTAGAGATCTCTTCCTGTCCTGTCGCCGCCATGTATTCCAGTAGTAAAGAACAGAAGCGCCCTCTCTAGAGATCTCTTCCTGTCCTGACGCCGCCAGGTATTCCAGTAATAAATAACAGAAGGGCCCGCTCTAGAGATCTCTTCCTGTCCTGACGCCGCCAGGTATTCCAGTAATAAATAACAGAAGGGCCCGCTCTAGAGATCTCTTCCTGTCCTGACGCCGCCAGTTATTCCAGTAATAAATAACAGAAGGGCCCGCTCTAGAGATCTCTTCCTGTCCTGTCGCCGCCATGTATTCCGGGAGTATAGAACAGAAGAAGAAGAAGAAGAAGAAGAAGAAGAAGAAGAAGAAGAAGAAGAAGAAGAAGAAGAAGAAGGAAGAAGAAGACCACATGATTATCTTTTGCCGCATTAGCGAATTCTAACCAGATTGTTAGTTCAGCCAGTTGTGTTCAAAGTTGTATTATTTTAACTTTTTTGAACTAAGACAGTGATTTCTTTGAACTAGAACCTCATGTTAAAGTAATTACTAGTATTGAAAGAGTAAATAGCTACTTCCAGAGATGGACCCATAATTAGAATCATCAAAGGGGCTGAAAACAGGTGAGATGATCACTCGCTAACTCTGATCATTACTGCCAAAGATGCTCCAGCCAGCACTTTTAAAAGGGTTTTTGAGGTTTGGAACAACGGACCAAAATCACGGCACACGGGTGTATCCCATAAGTGCTCCGTTCTGCCTTTAACCCAAGTCTGAGTCTGAAGAAGCTCAGCACAGTGCTCTGTAGCACCGGCGAAGATCCTGAAATACTTTAGGTAGATTTTAAACTCCAAATTTTGCCCGGGCAGCGCCGTTAAGCTTCTCTTTTCGATTTGCAACTGCCAAGGGATTTTGTTACGCGTCCGATCTCACTACCATGTTACACTTTATGTGAAGCCGAATGCTTGCTATTGATATTCCATTTCACTTGTGCGATTTCTATCATGTGACTGAAAGAACAGCCTTATTTGCCGGGGGAGTTACTAGAAGTCGAAGTCTATGTCAAAAAATCCCAGCCCTTAACGGGGATTAAACCTGGAACCTCTACCACCCGCCCACATTCTCCCCTCCCTCAATTATGATATACTGGTAAATTTTACGCTGGTCTCCCCATTTACACACCGCTACACAGTAGCTCGCTTCTGTTTGGACGACCTACTGACCACCTCACTTTTGATAAGTCAGCCTCGAGCGATCCGACTTTCACACAAGGTCACTGAGATATTTCGCACCGCACTGATACCGCGTGTTGTATCCCCCCCCCCCCTTCTCCCCTCCCCCTATGGAGCAGAAACACTTAAAGATGATAATTTAGGGAACATGTCAAAATCCCAGCAACAAAGAATACACACAAATTATCCTCTTTTCATCATCAAGACACTACACTAGTTTACACTGGATTCACAGACTATGAAAACATCTCTGACAGCACTGATTGGCAATCTGGTGTTTTATTGATATCCTACCCCAAACAGGGGAAATCCACAGGTCACGGGGCAGTCTAATATTTCGCTGCACTTTGTCGCGGGACGTAGGTCGGTTGGGTTTAGTTCAACTGGTGTTTTGGTGTCGTTAAAAGCGTTAGAAAGCCAGGAAACCCAGTCTTACCACCCTCTTAAATGTTTGACTGTCCTGTGACGTCATCTGGGGATGATAATAAAAAAAATTTTAAAAAACGGCAATCTAACTGGATATCGATGAGACACGATGAGATGCCATGGAAAAATACAAACCAGATCAGTGCTACCAGTACCAAACATAGACATTATCAAAGGCTCCCATGTATCCACTTTTAACAACTGTAAAGCGAGGCGCTTGAGAAAAGCTACACCCAACAGCAGTAATACCGCCAAATAGATTATGGGAATATTAACGTGAACTGAATGCATTAGGAAGTGGACCAAATGGTTTGATCATCTCGTTAGAATGCATTCACGACAGCCAACATTGGCACTACATCTTTAAAAATAAAAATAATGTGAAAGTAAAAGGGACACCTAAGCAGAATATTGACTGATGACATTAACGACATACATCCAGGCCGACAATACGCTCCTACCCACATGGAACTGCAGGTGGCACCAGGCTGGTGGCGCTGTTACGGGTGCCTTAATTATAACTGTTTAGAAGATTGAACAGGGTATCTGAGATCTTTCTTTGTTGATCTGTTGTCTAGATGGAGATTTTTTTTTTCGTATCTATGTGTTTCGTGCTGAATTGATTTGCTGGTCAATTGTACCAGAGTACAGAGGCGGGATCGCACGCGTTAGTCTTAAAAGCGCTAGATGATGACGATAATAGGGATGGTAACGAGTGTAAACAGTCCACGTTGAAAGTCAAGGATAGTGACGAGCGCAAAGGGTGTGGTGAAGGAGGCAGCGCCTCTCTATCAGCAACAGATGACGGATGCATATGGGCGTACTTGCCTTTGGTTTGTGGACATGTGTATTGTTTATTCCCATAGAGAATTAGAATGTTTAGTGAATGTTATTATTCGCATGTTTGCCACCGATTATCCGTCCCATTATGTTTGCCAATTAATAAAACTGACTGAAGTACCATGACAGATGCCTCCTGATGTGTTGCCGTGATACTGGTGACAGAGTGTTAGAGATATATTAGTGATTAGTGATTAGAAAGGATTATCATCACAGCGCTCCGGACAGAAGCAGAAGCCGAAGCAGAAAGAAAAGGAGAAGCCGAAGTGAAGAAGGAGAGTCAGAAGGAGAAGGCAAAGGAAAAGCCGAAGTGAAGAAGGAGAAGGAAAAGGAAAAGGAGAAGAAGAAGAAGAAGAAGAAGAAGATGAAGAAGAAGGAGGAGGAGAAGGGAAAGGAGGAGGAGGGAAGGGATAAGGAGGAGGGGAAGGATGAGGAGAGGAAGGAGGCTGAGGGGAAGGGAGAGGAGGGGAAGGAAGATAAGGAAGATAATTTTTTTCTAATCTCTACGCCCATGCCTTGTGCATAGATACGATGTGAGTTGAAGTGTTCAACTGCTTGCGTGTCTCTAGTCCGTCGAGATTGCTAGTCATGTGTTACCTTAATGAGTATTTTCACCTGGGTGTTTCCTCTAAACCAAGGTAGACCGGAAATATCAACCAAGCACAAACATAAAAAAGGGGGGAAGAAAAGGGGAGGGGGCGGTAAACAGTTTGCATGCAACTAGAAACGTACTCATCATCATGTTCACTGTCGTTAGAAGTAGTCAGGCATTTTTGCCGTCAACTTGATCACCAAAACACACAGATCATGTCAGTGCTCTTGTCCCACCGCATTCATGTCGCCAAGCCATCAAAGTGTATATCTGTTGGTCTTCAATTCTCCCTTTCCTGACATTCTTGATAGCTGTCACCAGATTCTATTTTTTACTGTTTCGCATAAAATGTCCAAACAGACTGACTGACCGTGACTAATTTCTTTAACCAACTGATGGTTTTCAGAAGTCTTCAGGGGGACTGGTTTGTTTTTCTACCATCACCATGTAGCAGGTCATTATCCCAACAACGCTCTAATCACGGTCTGCTTGAAAGCGACTCGGTCTTTCCGTCAGCTCTCCCGGCTCGTGCACTTTCCTACCATGGTGTCACTTATATCTTGTTCGCAACTTCGTGCTAATCGACCGCTGCCCCTTTTTTCTGGTAACGTGCCTTCTATTATTCCCCCCCCCCCCCCCCCAGTCCGCCATGGCTTGATAATGCCAAAAAAATTAAAGGTTTCCAGACAGCTGCAAAATTAGGACACTTGTTTGGAAAGCAGTGAGTATATTCTTGTTTTTCCTACATAATGTGGCCCTGAAGCACTCACGGGAAGGGTACAGATTTAAAGTCGAGAGGATCAACTTTACTGCACCGTGTATCATTTTAAAGGGTTTGGTCTACCATATAACGTTTAGCCGCTTACCGTTAGATTCGTAAAAAGGGTGAATACTATAGCTCCAGCGACGACCCACGTGGATTTCCGTAAAATGTGTACGTGTGAACTAAACAACGAAGCTTACGAATCGACATCTAAGATCACGAGGTTGTCTAGTACTGACGTGGCTTACTGCTACTGAAAGTGCTCCAGCATTACATTCAGGACAGCTGTCTAACAACATTCAAGTTCTCGCTCGCTGACACCGATAAACTACATACACGGCACACACCTGCCTATTTTTTCAACTATCACGCCGATACACTTTGTTGCCGTGTCTTTACTTCCAACCCGTTTGCTAGCGATGTGATGAGGTTGCAGCGATCCCCGAACCGTTAAGATGTAGAGCATTCCAACCCCACGCCGAGGCGCAACAAATAGGACAGTGAGGGGCATTTCATTTGATTTTCACCGACACAGGAATGGAGCAAATATGGGAAAACCCGATTACAGTAAAGCTGAAACCTAGACCAAGACTAAGAGGCTGGAACCCAGGACTTATGTGTCAAATGTTTGTGACACAAGTACAACAGTGAACATACATATACGCAAATACACATATGCTAATGGCCTATTCAAAAACTACATGCACACCATAAACGGAGCAATGACTGATGGTAAAATAGTTCTAGTCAGTTTAGTGTTTCTGTGCTATATTACTGACAATGCGTTTATCCTTTGATGACGATACTACTGTTTATTCTTGTCAGCATACAATGAATTCAGAATGAGCCACGCCCGCAAGTAAGTTCACCCACCTTAATTAAAGTCTTCACAATCTCTAATTAATTATACATGTAAACAACGAAGAACTGTGGTCTGAAGAGAATACTACAGCAAGAAGTGACTAGGAGTTCCGGTCGATACTTTGGATTCAGACGAAAGGGAAAACTGACACATAATCAAACTGCTACTGGTAGTATCAGAACAGGAACTCCTGACTGGCTGTCAGAGATGATGATGACGGAGAACTTTATGGGAATGTCCCGAGGTATGTGACGTCAGTTCATAGCTCAACACTCAAACAACACAGAAATGATGTCTTTATTGCTATTTCCTAATCTGAATATTTTTATGCTCATACAGGTTTTGTGAGAAATCACTGGGGACAAGACGCAGTGGCAACCTACCTGAACGCCATCAAACCATCGCCTCACTGGTACGAGTGTGGAGTGAAGATTCCATAACGAAAACGTTGAATACGCTTCGTAGCAAACATTTTATTTACGAATAATAATGCAAAGGTGTGTTTATTGTGTTTACACTATTAATAACATTTCCCGGTTTATACCACATACACCTTCAAGTTACCCCTGGAAACCTGATAGGGTCTTGTGGCTAAAACTGTAAAGTTCCAAGGGGGATAAATGCACGTGTACCAGACAGTATACCAGAATATCGCTGGAACTGCGCCATGTTAACGTGCAAAATCCTTATTTCGAGAAAATCATGTTTCTCCTTCTCTTCGTTCTCCTTGCGAGTGCTTATTAGACGAGAGGCCACACGCCTCTAAGAAGTCTGCAGTGCAATGTATGTCTTCCACTGATCTATGCAACTTGGTTTCTATAAGAATGCCAAAGACGAAACCCGGGATATCTGAAGCACATTCAGTATTCTGCGAAGCCAGTCCAATACACAGTTCAGGCATCAGTAAATTCCTTACAGATGTCCCCACCTGTATATAGGCAGGCCATAATTTCTTGTGCCTGAACGCGGTTTCTGGGACCTCTCCACGGCGATCCTCATCCACATGGTGGCACATTGTGTCATCGGGTGTTTATCGCTTGTGTGATGTCCTGGTGGGGTAGAAAGTCAGTCAGTCAGTCAGTCAGTCCCCAGTATTACATTTCTTGTGCATACGGTTGCAGAGTCTCTTGTGTCCAGTACGCAACCTAAACGCAGTGACCTGTTTCTTCCGTGTAAATCGCGTAAGAAGGTCGGCTGTGCTTTCCGGATCGTGTCCTGGTTGAAAAGTGTTCCAATGGGTTCCGTTTTGAAAATTACATCCCTCTTAAAAAAAACACATTGTGGTAAACGAAAACTGTAGCTGCGTGGAAAATAATACTTTATTTTGACATATTTGGAGGAGGGATTCACGTGTGTGCCTTCGGTATATTGTAAACTGACAAGTAAAATTGGTGGGAATGCCCTAGGGTAAAAACTTCTAAAACTGCACTTTGGTGATTTTTCTTTATGGTAAGGACATATTTATGAGAAACAAGCACAGCAACAAACCTGCCAGGAGGAGACATATCAACAGCTTTGCTGTACCAACAACTCTCGTCAGTACTACTACTGCTTGAAGCCTACTACCCCTATTATTGACTAGCTATTTCTGCTCCATTACTGCTGCTCCTACCAGATGCTATAGCTGCTGATGCTACCAACAGGAACAGGTCAGCTATTTCCTCTGTAATGCCTCCAGGTAAAGTCATTATTATCTAGAAAGGAATCATCGTGTTAACTATCATCATCATCATGTGCCCTGTCGACAAGCATAAACAGTCTTGCTTAGCCGTTCCGCACGATCACCAGAATCACAGGTATTGTCCCGCCTTTTCCACGTGACCGAACCATCCAGGCATTTATCTCTTTGTCTTTCCTTTGTATTCCTTCCATGAAACAGGCCACCAAGTTCTCTTGTCAATTACTGGCGAAACACGATTTACCGCGGCATCATGAAGATGGTATTCGGATGACTTTCGCCATCGTCACTACAGTACTCAGTCACGGTTAATACAGATGCTTCGCAGAAATGTCAAAGCTGATAACTGGATCAGTGAGTCATTTACAATAGCCAGTGGCAGCCAGCCAGCGCTGGATCACAAATTATTCCTCCCCACGTCGCTTAACGGCAGAAGTCGTTTATGATGCTGATGATGGTGATTATTATTATTTACTGCCACTTTGTTTCTGATGGCCGTGATAGGACTATACCACTGCATGGCACGCCGACGCAAAGAAAACATTAGGTGAAAAATTAAAAAAAGGAGTGGGAATATCAGCGACCCTACACATTTTCTCAGGATGGAAGCCTCCAAAGGGCCGAAGTTTTGCTTAAGTGCGCAGTCATTATAATAACTAATAGTATGTGCTGAATGGCAAATTCATATAATCGCATATGTGCAGCAAATGACTTGTATATATGTGTAAACATATTTAAAAAAGGCAACTTCTATAAAAAGTTGGGGCAGAGGGAGGGGGCACTTAGCCCCTCTTGCATATTTGCTAGACCCGTGAGGGGCGGCCTACTACCACACTTATACAACTGTTATAAAACTCAACAGCTTGGGAGCGGGGATCGTTACACCAGCCACCAGATATTGGCGCCCACTGCGTATGAGAAAAGCGTTAAAGAATGGTGAAAACTTTACCAACAAAATATACTAGTGCCAGGCTAAAACCGTTCACCTGTGGAAAGTCATTCTGAAGCCGTTATAACTTCTTCCTCCTCCCCTCCTTTCCTTCCCCTTTCCTCAAATCATCTTTTCAGCATCATTATTTTCAAGCCCTGAGGAGAAATTGATCAAAGCACACGGTCGAGAGCTGTACTCAAAATGTGTTATCAACTCACTGCAAAACTTGAGAAACTAAATGAACTTGGTGAGCTGAAGCAGCATTACAACGACAAACCGGCTTCTTGAATCATTTGCCGCGGGAACGATAAATCGCGTCTTGTGGTTTACGCTTTGTGATTAGATATACGTGTATTATCAGTTAAATACTTTCGTCTGCATAGCCAGAAAGGTGTTACAACAACAGTTAAACATAGCTCAAGTGCCGCCATACTGGCAGACAACAATTTTTTTGTTAAGATGTCATTAGAAATAGGATCTTAGTCTCTCAGTCAGTTCTTGTTTTTAGAAGACCATTATCTGCTTCAACTGCTTGGAAAGTCTGTCATTAACAGACGTGCACGCAATACACGGGCTCTTGAATCAGAGTAAAGTTCAGAGATGGACAAACAACCAGAATTTTCAGTCAGTGCACGCGAAGTAGAAGACCAACTACCCGTTTAATAGCACTTTTTAAGGCAGTTTAATTCAGCCCGATAATTTAAACCGTGTGGCTATTGCAGTCACTTTGAACTGTGAAGGCTGGAAGATCAAATGACGCACAAAACATGAATACTCTCAAATTGTAAGTATATAACGCTACTACAATTGTAGCACCTGGATAGAGTGTCAAATTACAGCTCAAGAGATGGTGGTCGAGAGAAGAACGGATTGTATTTTAGGCAGAAACGAACAGTTTGTGAATAGGCTGAAAATGCAATTAAAAAAAGTTGCAGTTAAAGTCCTTCTTCTTAAAGTCATTGGGTTGTGGCGTTTGTAGTTATCTCTGTTCACAACCTTTTGTCTTTCGTATACGCTCAATCTACTCTGACACAGATGATCCTCCAGGCCATGGCGTCAATCTGTCAGCATCTTTTCTCTTGGCCTCCCTCTGCCTCTCTTTCCCTCCAGCTTTCCTACTGTCACGATGTACTCCAGTTTTCTCCTTCTCATCACATGACTACAGAATGTAGATTGTCTCTTTCTGATGTGGGCAATCAGTTCTCTTTGTGAGTCAGTTTCTTTCAAGACATCCCCATGACTCTTTTTATCTAGCCAGGGTATTCTTATCATTCCTCTATATAACCACATCTCCGCAGCTTCCAGATAATTTTTCACTAATCTACCAACTGTCCATAATTCATTAGGATTTATATAGCTTTAAATAATTCTCTTTCTCGTCTAAATTGACAAAGAAAGATTGCATAAAATATTTTGTAAAACGCTGCCTTTGCTTGAGTTATTCGACACGTAATTTCCTTAATACATCTTCCATCTGATGGTATCAGGGTACCCAAGTACTTAAACATCAACTTGCACGAGGTCTGTCCGATTTACTTCAATGCTGCATTTTGGAGGGTCAGTTTTCTTTATAATTACCATTACCTCTGTTTGTCTACTGTTCAAACTAAGACCCTTGTTTTCACTTTCCGTTATATTTAAAGTCCAAGCACTCTTTAAAGAAAGAAAGAAAGAAAGAAAGAAAGAAAGAAAGAAAGAAAGAAAGAAAGAAAGAAAGAAAGAAAGAAAGAAAGAAAGAAAGAAAGAAAGAAAGAAAGAAAGAAAGAAAGAAAGAAAGAAAGAAAGAAAGAAAGAAAGAAAGAAAGAAAGAAAGAAAGAAAGAAAGAAAGAACCCTGATATCGAAATCGAAGGCAATCGACAGCATATGTTAAACACGTCCATTGGTTTGTTAAACACGTCCTTGTTTCCTTAAAATGTTTTTTTTTTTATTTTTTTTTTTTTTAATTTTTTTTTTCACGTTCCTCCTATGTTAAACACGTCCTTTGTTTGTTAATCACGTCCTATGTTAAACACGTCCTATGTAAAATGCAAGAATTCGATTCTCTGGCCTCCAAAGAAAAAAGATTTATTGTATATTTTTATTTTGCACAATATACTTGTTATTTGTCCCATTCTGATCTGGATCTGCGATATAAACTTCCTCTGATGTTACTCACCTGTAAGCACTCGAATGAAATGTGTGTTGAATGTCTATAGAAACACTAGATCGCAGCTTATGGGAAAGAAAACAGAAGGAAACTTTTGTGAATCGAGAGGTGAGGGAAAACATGCTGGCTCTGTGTTCGGTACTATTAAACAGTGCTGCACATTTGCACGTAGTCAAACCGAATGGTGTATATTATAATTGTTCAACTTGTGGATGACCATGTTCTTATTGTTGAAAATGTTTAGTTGAAATAAACAAATGATGATGTTCCCCCTATTGTTGTTGATATCTTATTGTCAAGTTGTAATTGTGTGAACAAATCCCCTGTATTGAATTGTTAGCCAAATAAGACGTTCTGTCGTTATTGCTTCTTAAATATTTTGTCTCAATATAAGGACGCAATTTTTTTTGGATTGTTATTTTAAAGCCGGTGGCCATAATATAACCTAAAGATCGAATGGGCTTTCTGGGACTTGTGCCCATGCGATTCTCATCCGAATAGTGGCACTTTCTGTTAGCGGGTACTTGTCGCTCGTTGTGCGCTTATGGTGGGGTTAATCGCACTCATTCGTTACTGCTTCTTCATCACTTCCGCTGGCTCTGACATCATCACTATACAGTGTCATCTTCGGATTGAAGATCTCCTGTTTATATTTTCAATATTCCCTATACCGTTCGTCTATA